TGAAGTGGTTGTGGTGGGATTGCTCTTGTGGAGGTTTCTCCATCTGGTATGCTGTAATGGGCTGAAATGCTAGATCTTGTGGTTTACAGCATCACATTCTGGACTGAAAAGGAATTTTGGGGCTGAAATGCCAGAGTGAGTGGGTAACATTCTGCCAACCTCAGAGCTGTATGGTGCAAGTCCTGCCGTGATGCAGTTGGGATTTTTGTTATCCAGGTGCTTTAGGTGTGAAGTGAAGGCACTGAGTTAATAAGGGTAAGAGCTGAGGCAAGGCACAGATGGTTGAATGAGTGTTACAGAAAGATTTGGGAATATCGGTGTTGCCCCTACAACACTGCTTAGGGATAACGTACATGTCAGGAGGTGGACAAAGGTGGTGGTAGGAGTGAGCTCCAGAAGGGTTCACCAAGAGCCATGTGCTTGTACAACTTTTCTGCTAGGAGATGGCCCGATTAATTTTTTGCTTGTGTGGGGGTTGTCAGCAGCAGTAAATTCTAAACTGTTGTGGTGTTGCATCCATTGGACCTGCTTAGAGATTTTATTTAAGCAAAGGAGTTTTTTGGGGGTTTTTGTTTTTTTGTTTAAAAAAAAGAAGCTTATTCTGTCAAACTTCAAGTGCTGAATCTTCCTTCAGTTTCCTGGGAAGACTATAATTGATTTCTTATTTAATGGATCAGGCTAACAAAATGTGATGGACAGCATCATAAATACATGAAATAACAGCACAAGTCTTACCTGGCCAAAGTTAACATTGGAGTCACTGTTTTATTTTTCAGATTAATAGATAATGGGTTATTTAAAAACAAACAAAACACTGAAATTTTCTAGTTAGCATTTATTTTACCTTCTGACCTAGAAGTTTTGCAAAACGCTCAGTGTACTGGGAATTATTCCAGTAACGGAGTTGCTGTGAGCAGTTTTTAATGCAGTTCTGCTTACCTAGAAGAAAAACAAGACATGGTGTCTCCATCCTGACTCCATGCAAAAAGGTGTCTCAAGCATCTTGTAACAAGATTCACATTCTTCATGCTTATCTAAGTTTATTCTGCCTCCTTGATGTATTCTCTCTTTCTCTCCATGCTCAAAAAAACCCAAAGGATGGCTAGATGGAGCTTCTTCATGGATATGTGAAAATACAGGGTAATACCTATCTTTCATTTGCTTTTTGGGAGCAGTTTGTATCCTGGTCTTTGGAATGAAGCCACTTCACTTTACTGTTTTTAATCTCTTACCAGGTTGGTTACAAGCTCCCTGCTATGAGGTCTAACTCAGCCTGGTAGCAATATGTATGTTTTCTCATTTATTTATGCATTTTAGTGCAGGTGTCAGAAACACGCACTGTTAGCGTTTGGTTACAAGTACATGCTCACTTAATGATACAGGCTGCTGGTCTCCTAGCAGGGGAAGATGCAGCTATAAAATTCAGGCTTAGAAATTTGCACAATGAACACTTACCAGAAGCACAATGAATGAAAAACATCTGCTTGCTATGCAGAGCATTAAATTGCCTTCTGCTTTCCAACACAGCAGGCTGGTGGAAGCGTTCTCAAATACCACATAGGCTGAGATATGCTGTTTTTCACTTAGCATCTTGGAAATGTCTTTGTCAGTTGGAAATTTAAAACTTACAGACCTTTGAACAGTATCAGGTGAAATGCAAAATTAAGTGTAGTGATGACAAAATGTTAAAGGGACGAATGAGCCTCTTATTTCAGTGGGAATCTGAAAAGGCTGCTTGGAAAGGTCTTTTCAGTTCCTTAACAGCACCTGTCCAAAATCACTGCACAAGACAAATCTTCCACAGGTAAGTATAAAGCCGTTTTGGTGGGAGGAGGGAGAGATACCTTCGAACTGAGAGGGCTGTATGGAGTCATTCAGCTCTGATGCCAGTGGATCGTTTTTCCTTCCTGTTAGTGGCTTTGATTCACAGCGTTGGGCTCATTCGACTTCGTGCATTGTTTCTATGTAGATTTGTTTCACGCTTGGTATTGGAAACTCTCACCGCTCCCTAGGTTTGTCTACTGCTGAGGGCTCTTCAACCAGCACAGGAATTCAAAACGGGAATAGTTGTGCTCCAGTTGTAATGCAGACATGGATTTGCCTGTATGGGTTTGGGAAATGGCTCCTGTTTGGAACAAGACTGTATTGTGATCAAAAAGAGATGTTTGATTATGACCCTACTGGTACACCGAAATAAAAACATCAACGATGCCTCTATGCTGCAGGTGTAACATTATGCTTCTGTTGTGACTCCTGAATTGCAGAGAAATCAGTATTTTGAACTTGTCAGTTGAGTAAAAACAACCAAGCAAACAAGCAAGCCAAAAAAAGCAAGCAGACCTTTCCTCTGCCCTATACCAGTCTCTAAGCTTAATGCAATATTGTTGGCAGGAGATGAATAAAAGACTGAGTCACCCCCCAACTCTCCAAATCAGAATTTGCTTTAGAGTAGTTTTTAAAAATTGAATTATATTTTTGGAAATTATATTCATAAAATACAGAAGTGTATTTTATTTCAATCGTGGGAACAGATCTTTTTAAATAAAAGGCTGGAATCTTACACAAGTAAGAGGGAACTGCTTACAAATAAATCATCAAATACTTGAATGCTGGTAACAAAATTCTCTGGACAGGCAATTCATTGCATGCCTGCTAAAGTACTCCTGGAGCAACTGATGAGCAATTTTGTTTGCCTCTTCTGTTGATTTTTTAGGAGTGTTCCAATGTGAAAAAAAATACTAGAAAACCTTGGCAAATTTTTAGATCAGAGCATGTCTGTAAGGGTAAACACAAAGGGGACTGTTGTTTACAACGTTACTAGCTGCCACATAAGAGCACTCCATCTCCAATGTCTACTAAATATGCTAGAACTCATTCTTGGTTAATCCTTTCATGCTGATGTGCTGAAGATGAAGTTTCTTCTCGCAAGACGTGCGAGCATGAGTGATTGGTCTCCAGTGCTGGCTCTGTGCTCCTGTCACCTTCCCAGCACATGATGTCCTTCCTGATGGATTTTCTTGGAATACCAGTAGTCTTGCTGGTCAGGGGCAAGGCTGCAAAACCAAGTTTTAAAATAAGACAAGACACCCAACATGTCTATTAAAAGAGGTTTAATCCAGCATGGTTTCTAAATATTAACCATGTACTAGTTTCCAGCTGTGACATGCAGCACATTTTTCAGTTTAAAAAAAAGAGAAATACAAAACAATTGAATATAAAAATGAGCCCAGGTTCCCTGATGTCACAGTGTGTGCCAGTAAAATACAATAGAAAAGAAAGAAATGTGGAGTTTCATACAGGAAAAGGTCCAAAGAGCTCTTTCTCATAAAAGCAAAGATTATTTGTCACATTTGGAAGCAACCATTTGTTTTGCTTTTATTCCTTCAGTGGTCTGAAATCAGGAGCTGCCTGTTGGGCAAGTCCAAATCTGGCCAGCACCTTGCCCAGCACCTGCTCTGTTGGGTACCGTTTCTGCCCGGTAGCAGCCAGCTGCTAGCAGGGAGGTGGAACCCAAGCGGCAACTTTGTCCCACTGGAAATCTGCCTTTATTGTTTTATCCCTGGTTTTCATTTACTCTGCTAGTACCATCTGCTCTCATCTTAATTACTTTTTGTGAAGGCCACCTGTTCTGGCACTATATTATTTTTAAAAAATGTATACAGGTTTCTATGAAATAGACCTATCTGATGTCATACGTAAGGAGCATGCCATGCTTTTTCCAAGCAGCATGCGTTTATCAGTGAACACAAATATTTCAAGGTAGATTGTGCTGCTCATGAAAACACATCCTTGTAAATTCAGAAGGCTTTTCCCCCAGAATACTAGAACATGAGATAAATAATGTCCTTCCGGGGGAAAAAAAGCAAAACGAACCAAAACACGGGTCCCACACGCCCCTAAAAAAGGACGTCTGGGAAAATGAGTTTCATTGCAGACATTCTTTAGTTTGGAGGTTCATTTTTTGCCTTTTCACAGTGGGAAGGATGCATTGCCCTCCTGGGGCGCAGGTATCCTGAGTCTCACAGTAACAGCTGTCTGTTTTGCAAACCCAGCAGACTGGGTCCAGTGCTGCTCCTCATGGCAGGACCAGCATTTGCAACACAGAGCGTGAGATCAGTGACATCTTGCACACAAATATTTGCAGGCTTCAATAGGCAGATAGCGTTGGATGGTATTGGGCAAGCCTTCCTTACCGTGTGTGCAAACACGGACAAGGGCTTCCACGCAAATGGCAGGAAGGAGGCTGGTAAGACAATGCCTCATCTGTTCTACCTCATAGCTGTGGCAAAAGTGCAGAAGATGGGATGTGACCCCATCCAAGCAGCTTAAAAAAGTGGTATTGAATGTCTGATTAGCCACCTACCCTGCAGCACAATTATGCTTTGAGGTTTGTTTTTGCTGCAGATCTCCAGTTGTCACTTTTCCTTGTCACAGACAGGCAGTAGATATAAATATACTGAAACCAATGTGTTAACTATAATCTATGCCTTCAGTGCTTGAGATAGTGGAATATTCAGACTTCAGATAAAGAAACACTGTTAGATAATAAAGAAAAATACAAAGAAAGACATTTTAAGCCTCTCTTCTTTGGCACAGCAAGAATTATAAAAGCTATAAGTGTTAAAGATTTTGAATTAAGAAAGCATATGAAAAGCTCTGCTTACACGTTTAAAATACTATGTTCCCCTTTACTCAGTACATCGTAGTAGTGCTGAGTGAGGAGGGGCAATGGAGAATTGAGATGTGGTGTTTGGATACAGCCCTGTGTGGCAGGTTGAACTACTGTAAAATCCATAGCTCTGAGGGAGCGTCTAATGGCTTTGAGAATAGTCTCCTTTTCCACATCACTGCTCTGTCTGCGCTTTGGTGGTTTCATAAACAGTGAGGTGGAAAGAGAATACTGAGGCTGAAATAAGGGAGATGTTTCAATTGGCAGTGTGCTCAACAAAAAGGAAAGTACTTGATCATCTTCCCTTCACATTTGCTTGGTGTTTGTTTCTTCAGTCTGAGTCGGAATCAGAGTCCTCATCTGAAATTTAAAACAAGGAACAATAGTGAAAATGAAAACTGTAAATCTCCACATCAGCTTTAGCTCTTGCTGGGAGAGATATGCTGCTCTTCAGCAGGTGTCTGCTTCAAAGGATGTAGCATATTTAGGAAAAGGCCTGTAAAATGACAGTTCTTACTAATGTGATGGAGCTTTAAATGGCATTTCAAAGGACTTGAGAAATGCTGCTGAGAGGCAGTTGGACCACTACAGCACAGCTAACACTTCAGATAAAAGAAGTTGCAGAGCTATTACTGTTGGCATGACCACCAAGAGGAAGTCTGCTGAAGACGTGCTTCCTGTACTAGAATATTGCTGTTTGCTGTGGGTCACAGTCATGCACTGCCAGTTGAGCCTATCTGAAACCAGAAGCTTTAAGATGTTAAGAAATCCCAAGAGGCTTATAGAGGTACATTTTGTGTGAGCTCGAGACTCCGCTTGCGAGGAAGCGAGGGATTTCTGGCCTCAGCAGTTGCAAGCCCCAGCGTGAATGTGAGTTTGGTGCCAGGGGACACTGCTGCAGGGTGAAGCCCTTCTTGCACAGTCAAATCATCAACACAGCACTGCATGACTGCGTATTTGTAAGCTGATCCACTTTTATCTCCATCACCAGGGAAATTAGATCTAATCTTTAGCCTGATTTTGTACCTTTGTCACCTGATCTTCTTCTGAGGTCAGTTCAGTTTGTGGGGATAAACAGTTTTCAGTCTTAACAGTCTGCTTCCTATCATCTTCTTTTCTTTGACTCTCCTCTTGGCCTAAAGCTTGCAAAGCTTGTTTTTTGGGGTTTAGGGGTTTTATGTTTGTTTATCTTTAAGTATGGAGCAGTCTTTATTATTTGCATGGGTACAGTGAGTAGTACCACAGGGCTGTGATGCCTGATTTGGGCTCCTGGGTACAGCAAAATAGCTACCTGTGTCCTGACTTGACTTGAAATGGGTTTGAACCAGCAGTGGGTCCGTCTTTATCTTTGTCTAAGTGGATCTGTCTGATCTTAGGCAGACTGTACCTCCTCTATCAGAAAGAAATGTGGTAACGGTCTTGTTAATTTTATGCCATGTGGCCCTTAGATTTAAGGCCATTTGCCCACAGCTGGTCAAAGCTTGACCGTGACTGAATAAAAGGCAATCATGATAAAGAGATGATAAAAAGAAAAGTACTACTAGACATAAAAGAGTATGGACTAATGGATGTTAGTTATGAAGTTATTAAAAAAAGGTAGATGTTTGTTTTAAAAGCAAGACATCTTGATGGAAGGGGAAAAAAAAAATCTGTGCTGCATAATAATTTCTGTAATTGGATTTGAGGCTTTTCAAAGTTCGATGGTGCAAAACTCTGAGAATCTTGACGTTTCTGGCTTGCTCGTTATCTTTATAAATCACTGAAATTCCAGGTCTTGTATTTTAAGACTAAGGAGCTTCATAATTCAGCATAGCTGTGGCACACAAAGCGAAGTTAGCTAAGAATAGAAACCATTCTTACTGAGTGAGTGCTCTGGCTCCTGTGTGAAAGGTGAAATGGAAAAGAAAATCTCACGTTACATGCTCATATAACCAAAATGGGCACTTTTACCTACCTTCTGACTTGCGCCCTTCAGGGGACTCAGAACTGCCTTGCTTGATAAAAGTAACCAGGTCATTGAAGGTGATGTAGAAATCAATGGCGTACACTATTGTGGCTATAAATCCAAACACCTAAAATGGCAAAATAACGCTCTCTTTAACAACAGGTCATGTCCATCAGTGACAAGCCACAATAAGCCTAATGGGCACAAGAAAAAAAATCTTAAAACTTGGGCTTGACTTTTTTTGGCCTATGCCTTTCTAAAAAAAACAGGGAAGGGAAATGTTTTGTGACCCACTGTAATAACTAAGTAACAGCTAATGTGGGAGCCTGAGGAGTGATTTAGCTGCATTTGCTGTCTCGGATGTGTCCTTAGCCCTTCCCCAGGCTACGTCCCTCTGTGGCTCTGGGTATGTTCAGCATCGCACTTCCACCATCACCTTGATTTCCCTAGAAGTAATTTTAGACACATCTATTGCAGAGTAAACTAGATAGAGATAAAATACTTCTGGAGTTTAGCGTCAGAGAAGCAGCAGTGTGACAAGAGTAGGCAGGTTTTCAGTCTGAGAAGCCAGGGGAAATGCTGTGCTGCATCACTCCACATCTAAATGCAGTGACAAACATTCAAACAAGTCTTCATCCCAAGTATGGCTGGGACAGTTTGTTGAGGGTTGCAGGCTGACACTACTGGGTATTGTTCTTCCCTATCATTTACCATTATTATGCAAATTTTATTTATGTCGCATACATTATTGACACTTAGAGTCAAGTTGCAGATAGAGAGGTTGTATCTTATTTCTGAACACAAAATGCTGACCATTTCCTGGGCAGTCCCTATACTGGAGGGTAAAACAACACTGCTCTTGTTTCAACTCATCCAAGTAAAATTAAGCAGTAGAGGCAGAAGGCTGAAATGACTTAATTTAGACTGTCCTTAGTAGTTACAGGTTTTATTTCTTTTTTTATTATTATTATTCCCTCTATTTGAGGATCTTGATGTTCTTTGCAGGAACAGAGAAGTTTATCTTCCCTGTACACCTGGTGAAATTAAAAAGCAGAATAGGTGCCTTCCTGAAGTAGTACAGTTAACATGGAACAGCACTGTTAGGATGAAAAAAAACTACCCATTGATTAAAACCCTGCTTTTCTGAATCACTGACCATTTCTTCTTAGCTTTAGGCATATCTAATTCTCAGTTAGTTAACTGAACAAAATTCTGCTACTTGCAGTGGGGTCAAAATGGAGTTGTTTCTAAAGTACATCCGTATGCAGGTCACCAAAATACTTCAGTGGAAAGCCTACGTCTACTTACTCCCGCTGCTTTAGATGCTCCATCATTATATTTTGAGACAGCAGCAATGGAAATGGCAAAGTAAATAATGGCAGCAGTGACGCACCGCAAGAAATCCTGTAAAATAAGCAATGTTGCATTCTCAGATTAGTCACGTAATCCCAACGCACAAACGTCTCTAAAAATGATTTCAGAAATGACCGTGAAAAACCTTTGTTGTTGTCTCAGTGGACGTGCCTGATGCTGGAGTGTGACTGCAGCCTGCTATTTTGCAGCAGATGAATTGCTCATCTGGGACATACTTTTAAATGAGAGATGACCGGAATCTTGGCATTAGCTTCTGCTCTTGCAGATGTTGGTACAAATCCTACTTTTAGCACGTGTATGTGAGGCAGACCTCTTTTCAGGCTGAGAAGGGCTGTCCTGTGGCATTTAGCTTGGAGTGCAGCAAGGGCCCTAATGGAAGACTCATTTAAAAGGCCTCAAAAAGCCTTGTCTTTAAGCAGAACTCCTGCAGAACTGAAGGCTCTGGAGCCACGTACCAGTTCCCCTAGGGAACAGGCATGCGCTTGTTTCTATATGGAAGTAGGCCTGTCTGTAGGAACTCCTCATTTAAGAACTAAACACTTTGTTTAGTGTTTAAAACTGGTTTAGATGTAGTAAGTACACTTGTAACTCCAACAGTTAGCCTGAAGTGAATGTGCCCGTTGCTGTCATCGAAATACGTGCTTCTGTAGCTCTGCAGGGCAGGGACCATGTCCTGTAATACAAGCACCGAAGTGCTACAGCAACAGCATCTCTGAACTGTGTATTAAATAGCGAGCTGCAATTCCCAGGGCATGTGCAAATGACATGAGCTGGAATAATGGTATCTTAAATTCACCATTAGATCTTCTGCCTTTTCAGAATAGATGGATGAGTAAGGTACTGTCTCAAACCACAAATCCTACAAGAAACTTGACTCTTCTGAAGTCAGGATGAGGTCAGTTATCTATACTCCATGGCTGGAGTATGTTATGGTAATGGACATATTAGATATACAAGTGGGTTTTTTGTCTTGGTTCTGGAATCAGATGCTTGTAGAAAATGGGAAAAATGATGGAACTGAGATTACCAGTAAAAACCATCCACGCTGTCGTAGTCAAAGTCACTGCTATTGTTTTAAACACCAATGGCCTTGCTAATGTTATTTCTATACACTAAGATCTCCAATTCAAATCTCACTATGATGAACTATAGCTATACTGTACTAAAAGAGAATCCAGATCAATTAGACTGGCATTTTTTGGGAAGTATTTTACTGCTAGAGAAATGCTGCCTTTACAATGTATGTTTGAAGCAACAGAGACATCCAGTGGCCAGCATGCAGTGATCACTTGCAACTGGGAGCCTGGAAGCTCCCCAGTGATCAGCCAGAGGTTGCCTTGGTTTGAATGAGCATCTGCCAGCAAGAGTTGCAGGGCTTCCCCCCTATAACAAAAGTACCTGTCAGTTGGTTTGCTGGTGAGTATGATTCTGCATCTCAACAGCACTTAGCTGAGAATTTTAAAACATTTCAGTAAAGTATATGCATTACTATATTGTGTGCCTCAGTTTCCCCATTTGTAAGGGTGGCAATATTAATGAGCCTCCAGCAGTGGTCAGTCTTAGGCTGATGTTGCCTGCTTCTGAAGATGCAGCTCAAGCCATTTGCCTGGAATTGGGCATAAATTCTGTGCTTTAATGAAACCATGCTTTGTGTCAGCACCAAGAAAGCTGCAGTATGCAGTACAGCACAGGTAAAAGTGCTTTGGGACCTTCTGAATGAGAGGCAATATGGACAAGTTTCTAATAAGGGAGTGAAGCTGTTACCAGCTAAACTCCCATGTAGTTCCTTCTACTCACATTATACTGTACAATTAAATCTGTGCTTTTATTTTGTGCGTTTCACTTACCGCCAAAGGCCAGTAGAGTCCTTTAAACTTCTCATTAAGTTTGAAGGCGTAGGCAAAAAAAAGAGACAGAGCCAGCAGAAACTCTAGGAGTGGTGCCATCATGAAAGAGGCAGCTAGAGATGCAATATAGCAGATAAAGATGATAAACGACAGCACCTAGAGTAAAGGGAAAACTCTAGTTATTTGCATGGAATAGCAGAGCCTCAGGCAGCTGAGCAGCTTTGAAGTGTTTTTCTCCCTGCCAGTGCTGCTGCTGGTGCCATGTCTTGCTTCCTTTTTTTTCTTTTCTTGGGCCAAATGGTTTTTCTTGTTTTGCATGGAATAAATCTAAAGTAATAGCATTTATTTCAATGTGTGTGAAACTGACTTTCCGGAGAGCCCAGTGGATCTGCACCTCTCCAAGTCAGTAATTTGTTCTGCATTGCAAACACTTCTGACAACATAATTCTGAAAATAGAGTGAGGCACTGCCAAGCAAATAGAGCTTTAGGCTTTCAACCGTGACAGTCCTCATTTGAAATCCAAATCATTGCTCAGATAGCCCAAAGTAACTCAGCGTTTATAATCATCTTGGAGTTGAAGGACAGAAAAGAGCTGAGAATTAATTATTCTGTGATTTCTGGAGATCTCTGTTTCTAGTTTTTCAGTATAGACAGCTGTTTTAGAGAGTAGTAGGACAGATAACTCCCACAGATTTGTTTTATCTCCATGATGTTTCCTAACTCTACAAAATAATGAAAATGCCATTTGATTTTGCGTACAATTAAAATACTTTTAGAATATGGTTTATGGCTCAAAATACAATTTCACAATGGGAAAATAGCTAAAGAAAATGCATTTTCACCTAAAACAGACAGTACCAAAGTGCTGTGCTACACTTCTGGACTTTCAGCTGATGTATTTGTCAAAGTAGGGGGTGAGGGAATCATGAAGAAACTCAGTAAAACTTTAAAGTTATGTACTGGGAGTTGGTCACCTTCCAGGAAGAGGCTCCAGCCCTACTGTGCTGCTACCTCACGTGGTAACTGCTTCAAGTTTTCTTCAAATTAGCTTAAAATAAAAACGCAGCATACTAGATAAAACATTTTCTGCCTGTGTGAGTATGTTGTGCTAGGTCACACCTGAGCTGCTCTGTGCAGCCTTTCCTCTTGGGGACAAATCCCTGCCTCAGCAATGCTCAGTGATGCCTCTGGTCAGTGCAGCAGTAGGTACTGCTTGAGGGATTTTTGAATTTCTAACTGGGGACACTGATATTCTCACTCATATAATACTGAAAACAGATGTATTTTATTTCCCCAGATGGCATGTCTGAAGGCAGATATAACTTCTTGAAAAGCATAAATGTACGGACTGTGCCAAATCCTTCGTTAAATATCAGATCCATGGACTTCTTTGCTTGCTGCTACCATGTGTTCCTGGGAACCAACTGTACCTCAAAGAAAACAAACAACAAAACAACCAAAAAACTTGAAAGACAAGGCTTCTATAATTAATTATTAATTAATAATTGGTCCTATGAGAGGTCAGTCAACCCTCAAATATACGTATCCAAAGAGCACATTTTGGTCTAGGGGGCAACTAAGCAGTTCAATTCTGTTGAAATAATTTCTCAGTTTAATTAGCAAGCCTTTATTCCAAGCCTGGGGTTTTTTTTGGGAAAAGCGTTTTTTGACCAGGATAATAGCAGAAGTATATTGTTTTGATCCATTAGGACTGGGTGGTGAAGTCTGAGAGGATGTGACATTCGTAATAAGATACTATATTTATCTGAAAATGCCTATGTATTGTTCTCATTTCATGGGGTTGTAAGAAACTGATCTGGTATAATATATAGAGTTAACTTTTGCATCACAGCCTGTTACCTGTTAATATTTACACTATTTGTTGTTATTTATCCTATTATTATTTGCTTATTGCTTATATAGCCTCTTTGCAGGTTTTTCTAGACTTTTCATATAGTGGAGGGAACTCATTCCATGTATCTTATCCTTAACAAAGTTTTATTTCTGTGAATAAAAAGTGGTATGCTGTGTTTGAAGAGAAGTGGATATAACAGAACTTGAAAACTGCTAAGAGCAGAGAGGACTTCTTCCTCCCTCCTGTCGCACCTCCCATTCCCTTCCCACCCCCATGGAATAAAACTAGAAAGGACTGGACTTGAACTCTGTGAATCCACTTCACTTGCATTTGTGGAACATAATTTAGAGACCATTTTGTGTTTTCTTGGTTTATAAAGAAATCACCATGCAGCTGGGACATTTTTCCTTACTTGTTCTGGTGTTTAAAAAAACAAAACCCAAACCTCTTCCTTTTTCTGGCTAAAGGAAAGTGTGTGATAGCTGAGATGGAGGCAGAGAAGTATGTAGGGATGAACAGCAGCAAGGAGGAGACACGGTGGGATCCATCTGCCACCAACCAACCCCTTTCAATGGCAGAACATTAGACCTGAACTAAACATGGTAGACCTCTTATGAAAGAATTAAATGCAGTGATAAATAATGCATCATACTACAGCAGCGAAGGGAGGCAGAGAGGCAAATTTCAGACATGTAAGTTGACAATGCTCAGCAGAGTTCACTTTGATCTGGATTCTGTTTGATATGGTGGCTCCTGCACTGTCTGCCTTTATACAGAGAAAAAGCTTTTCTGCCAGAAGCGTTAACTGTTAGGTGAAACGAAGTCTTTGTGTTCTCTTAAGATCAGCCTTACTGTAATTTGTGTAATTTAAGGTTCCTGCTGTTTTCCCCTCACCCTGATGGCCCTGGGCAGCTCTGTGTGGTTTGAAACACACTGTAGTGCCCCAGACCCTGCTGTAACGCCACTCAAGATGCAAACTCAGACTTGTTTTGTGGCAAGAGCACACCACGGGGCTGCTGCTCCAGTGTGCTGGGGTGCTGGTGCGATTCCTGCTTGGGCACGTGGCAAATTGCTGAAGAGACCAAAGGATCTGTGTGAGCATTTCAGCTTTCTAATTCAGTCTGATCAGAGAAGCTGGCATCTGGGGAAATATTAGTTGTCCATTGTAAAACCTAGTTAACAGGCCAGCTGCTTGCTCAGACAAACCCCTGGTTGGTGGTAGAATCACAGCAGTCTCCTCCTGCCTGTTCCTCAGCCCTGAGGAGCAGGAACCGAGCTGCTGCCATCACCACTGCCTTGGGCGGGCTTGAGTCCGGCCCGTCCCAGCTCTCCACTTGTCAGCATCCTGTTGTGCAGGGAAAGTGCACATCAAGGCCACATTAAAAAACAAAACAATATCCTTCATTTGCAAAAAGTCCCTTGATTTCAATGGATTATTAATGATAACAGTACAAAGGAAAGCATCTGATACAAAGTGTGATAACTGCTCTCCAATCGAGCATCATTCCTCATTTTGGAGGCATTCAGAGACTGAAAAGGCCCAAGGAAGATTTTATGTGTAACACACACCTATGAAATAGTGGATGAGATTTTGAGAATGAAGGTTTGAAAGATGGTATGTTTAGATGCTACGGTCTTCGTTGAGGCAAGGCTGGGAGGCACAGGCAGACACAGAAAGAGCAAGAAAAACAAAAGCAAGGAGGTGCCTGAAGGCTGTCAGGTAACTGCTACGGTGCCCCTGCTTTTTGTCTGCCTGGGGGATACGTCGCAGCCCTGATGTGGATTTTAATGCCTGATCTACTCAATAACTTGGGGACAGCCCTCTGTAATACTGGAGCCCACAAAGCTGTTGGCTTTTGATGGTATTTGTCATTTCTATTTGTTTAGAGCTCATCTCCCCTTCTGACAGGTGGAGTGCATGAACCCCCTGGGCAATACTGGGTATTATATATTACAGTCTTTTCTGAATTATAAAAATGAGTTGGTATCTTTTTATCTTGTCTGACCATTTAATTACAGTGCTACTAACTGAAGCATTTGATGTCATCTAAAAATTTGGTAATTTGAAAAATATACCTCTCCTCCCACAATACAAACACTGATGTTCCAGTCTGTACTCAGAAATAATGAACACCACCTTACTTACTTTTTCAGATTTCAAGTCTTTGAGAGAAACATCTGGCAAACTGAAAGTTGCTCTAAAAATGACAAACTCAAAAGCAACCTTCAGAACATAGCCTGACCCCTCTAAAGACCTTCAAATGATCCACTGCACATCACACTTGTGCTGCATCTTTTTTCCTGATGCTGCATGTTTAACAGTGATTTCAGAGAAAGGCCAAGCAATGGGATCCTGTCATGTTTCTAACAGCTCTGTGTCTGCTAAAAACCAAACCAAAACAGCTAGAGAGGAAGTTTATGAGGCTCGATGCAGTTGCAAATTCATTTTAGCACTTTCAGTCTCAGAAAGCACTGCTACCTCTGGGAGGAAGAAGAAAAGTCTAGTGTTTTATCAGTTTTGTCCATTTGTATTTACACGGGGGGGGGTCTTTTTCCTTTGGGATTACATCCTTGGCATTGATAGCAGGTAGGAGGCTGAGTCGTTCTGCGCTGCTGTTGAAAGGTGAGTGTGAGTGTTGCCAGCTCCACTGTGAGGAGTCTGTGGATAGAGAAAGCTCTCGAGCAGTGAAGAACAGAGCAGGATTCTTTCATAGTCTGGCAGTAGTAAGATTATAAAACATCCTGGCAAAAAAGAGGCCCGATTCTTCATTCAGCACCTTTTTTGTGGGAATGGTAACGTACATAAAAGAGATTACGTATTACTTTTTAAAAGTAACTTCTTTGGTACTGTGTTTCAAAAAGTCATTCTCTCCTGTGTAATTTTTGCTTAATATTGTGTTGCTGGGCTTCTTAAATTGGCCACGCATTATGAAGTTACACTTTATCATATAACCAGCTTGCAATTTAAGGTATTAGTTGCAGTGGTTCGAAAGCACTGTGCCCTTTACGGGAGGGAGGACTGCTGAAGTGCTGGGGTCGTGTCTGTGCCCTCCGTGCAGGGAGAACAGCCCCACTGCCGCCCGTCAGCACCCTCCGCTTGCAGCTCCGCACAGTCAAACGTCTGCCCCTTGTTTCCCCTCTGCAGGAAAGAACAGGTTTGCTTAAACAGTTTCAGAAGTGGCTAGTGGTGATCTTTTTTGGACAAGAGTCCATTTTGTTATTGTTTAGTGGCAGAGAGTAGATACTCAGTGCTATTCAGTGACTTCTCTGTCGTACGTGTCCTGGAGGTGAAGTTCTTGC